GCCAGGGTCACTGACACATGCTCGGCACCCACCAGTGAGCACAGTGTACCCACCAGTCTCCCCCAGTGAGGGTACCCAGGAGGTCTGCATTCCCTGCCTGGCTCTGGGGAAGGAGTGGCTCTAGTGCTTAGGGCAGACGGGAAGACACTGCCCTTCCCAGCCCAGTAAATCACTCCTCTGCTGTCGGTCCCAGTTTCCCAGCTTACAGAGGGACAGCAGTGATAAGGGTCCCCCTCCCAGGAGGCCAAGCTCTCATCCCTTCTCTATGTTCTGAAATCCCTGTTAGGGGACATAAAACCTAAGAGTGACCCACCAGGGCAGCAGATGAGGCCAAAGCTGCTGCCGCATTAACGGATCTCAACCCACAGGCAGGGCCTTCGCCCCTACCTTGAAGACTGGGCTTATGGCCTCAGGCCATTTGACGGGGTCCTTGACGATGAGGCTGACGAGCTGGAAGATGCTGCTGGTGTAGAAGGGAGGAGTGCCCACAAACAGCTCATACAGGATACAGCCCACAGACCACAGGTCCGCTGTGTGGTCGTACGGCCGCTCCTCCACCAGCTCAGGGGACATGTACAGCGGGGTGCCCTTGATAGAGGTCAGCACCATGGTGTGGATGCTCATGGCACGGGCAAACCTGCTCAGAGCAAAGCACAGATGGCCAGTTCAGGCTGAAACATCCGTTGCAGCTCCCAGGGAGATCCCTACGAGTTTACCAACACCTCTCCCCTCTGAAGTCCAAAATCCCCTATCCCTGCTCAACCTCTAAATATGCACAGAATCCAAGTCCCCTTCCACACACACCCCTCCTCCTCTACAGCACCCAGGACAACCCCTGGCCGCCCCAAGCCCAAGTGTCCCCCTCAAGTTGGCCCCCAGCACCCACCCAAAGTCACAGAGCTTGACGACGCCGTCTTTGCCCAGCAGGATGTTCTGGGGTTTCATGTCACGGTGCAGGATGCGGTGGGAGTGCAGGTAATAGAGAGCAGAGACCAGTTGGGCAGCTATGGTCTGGACCTGCCGGAGACACGGGAGCCTCACCCTGTGTCCTATGGTGCCACCAGCCAGCACAGTCATGGGGTCCCTTACAGGCTGGCTCCCCCAGTACCCTCACTCCTGCCCTTGCCCTGTTTGGGGCAGGGACTAGCCCCAGCCGTGGGCCAGCAGTTCCTCAGAGTAGGCTGATGGCCGAGGCAGCAAACCTGGTGTTGTTTTCCTTGGAGAGGGAACAGGGAAACTGTCCCACAATGCAACCTGGCTCCCTTTCCACCCCCTTCAGAAGCTCTGCCAGGTAAAGCCTCGGAGGCACCCTCACCCTCCTGATGTCACCTGGCCCACAGCAAAGACCTGCTGCTTGCAGGCAGACAAATCCTGTTCTCTCCACCCTGCAGCAAACACTGCGTGGCCACCACCATGAGAGTCACCTGGTCCTCGGGCAAACTCCCATCATCCTCCAGGATCTGGAAGAGCTCCCCCTCTGCGTAGTCAGTCACCACTACCACCTGGAGGGAAGAGCAGCACGGTGGGATCAGGCACTCACCCAGCCGCATCCCCACCATGCCCTAGGGACCAGGACAGAGCAGAGCAGTAAATCGATGAGGGAGACACTGGGGTGTCATCATACGCAGCCCATCAGATTGGGCTGGGAGGTGGGGCAGGAGAGAGCCCCTGTGGCTGCACTGCAGCAAGGGCCTGGCATTTAGCAGAGCCCTTGCAGCTGTCCTTATCTCGGACAGCCAGCAGAAACCAGGGAGGAGGGAAGGACAGGACAAGCCCAGAATGGTATTTCCACGCCCAGTTGGTAGAATCACTCCCTTAAGCTTGTTTTGAATCTGTTGCGCAATTACTTTATTTCATGCCCCCATGTCCCATAGCATAGTCTTCAATCCTTCCCTATCACACTCTCTCCGTGCCAGTTTAGGCCAGTGAAAAGTCTAAGCCTCTGAAGATCCCACTCTCACCCTGTGATCCCAAACCACTCCTCTTCCATCACACACCCCCCGCCCAGCTCCTTCATCTCTGTGCATGACCCAGTGCACCCCACACAGCCCAGCCAGTTGCTGGCTCCCCACACAGCACATACTGGAGGGCTCTGAAGAACACTGACCAGGTTGGCGTCCCAGTCCTTGTTCAGGCAACCCCCACGTAAGGTCCCTGCATGTCCTCAGGGAGGGTGGGAATGCCCTGTGGGCAGGGGACCTCAATGTGGCCATCTGAGGGAGCAGAGTAGGCTGCTGGCAGGATGGCAGCACCCAACGCAAGCCAGGAAGCGACTGGGAACAGAGCAAACCTGGCTGGCTGGAAAGGCTGCTAGAGCCCCGGGAGGGTGTCACCAGCATCTCCTGAGAAAAAGGTCCCTACGACAGCAGGGGACAGCCCTTGTTCCCCTGCCCCAGTCAAGCAAAAGCATCTGCCCCGAGAAAGTCCCCTTCACCTCCTTGTCGGTCTCAAAGCTGTCGAGCATCTGGATGATGTTGGGGTGGTGGAGGCCTCTCATGATCTCAATCTCCCGCTGCAGGTTCTTCAGCTCCTTCTCAGACCTCCCCACCTTGGGGATGAACTTCAAGGCCACCACCTTTCAAAGCAGGCAAAGCTGGGATCAGACCAGGCACCTGCCCTGGCAGAGGCTGCGTTTAACCCAATCAGGACTCAGCATTTTCCAGCTGAGCACACCGAACGAGACATTTGTTCACTGGATCCCTTGAAGCTGGGGCTCCCCCAGGCCCTTGCACATCGACACTGGTGCTCACGGTACTTTGCACATTAGCATATAAAGCAAACAATTGTAATCAGTGAGTGCAGACAAAACTAGGACTGACAGAAACATGGGACAGGAGGTAGAGATGCTGGCAGACAGCAAGCTAAACACGAGACAGCAGCGTGCCCCGGCAGTGAGGAGCACTAGCAGCACCCTGGGCTGTATCAACAGGCAGGAGTTTGAGGGAAGTTATTATTGCCCTTTACTTGTTAGACCATATTGGCAATATTGTGGCCATTTTTTGGCACAGAATGACATCAATAGGCCGGAGTGGGTATAGCAGAGGCCACCGGGATGGCGAGGGGGCTGCAGCACGTGGCGCACAAGTTGAGGCTGGGGGAAACGGGCTTGGTTAGCCTGGAGAAAAAATGCTCAGGGAAGCCAAATAGTAATTTTGTGATTCCCAAAAGGAGGTTTCAGAGAAGATGGAGCCAGGCTCTTTACAGACATGCAAGGTGGGAGGATGAGACAGGGATTACAGACTGAAACAGGGGAGCTTTCAAGTTGATATAAGGAAGAACCATTCAGCCCAAGTATAGTCAAGCACTGGCTGTGGGGTCTTTGTCCCTGCAGTTTGGCAGGATCTGAATTTAGCGCGGACTCTGCTTTGAGCAGGGGATGGACTGGGGACCTGCAGAGGTCCCTTGAACCTGAATGACTCCATGCCGGCAGGAGCCGGCCAGGAATGTCAGCAGAAAAATGAACGAGTGCCGAGTCCCAAAGCCCTGGCAGGACCCTGGAACCAAACAGCCACCAGAAATCAGTCCCCAGCGCCACACAACGGACCCCCGTCCCTCTCCCCTGCCGCCTCTTTCCTCACCTGGGCGCTGTGTTTCCGGCGCCCCTTGTACACGCGCCCGAAGGAGCCTTCGCCGATCATTTCCAGGACGTGGTACTTCTCCATCGCGGGCGTTCGGGGAGGGGGCCGCTGAGCTGCACAGGC